CGGGAATGATTTTTCCCAAAACTGTGAAACAGTCACACCCAAAGAGATATCAAAACCCTAGAGGCTAGAGTGACCTCACAACACAACAATTTCATTTAAAAACTGACAATATAAAGTGAGAGGAATTTTGTAAGAGTCATATACAAGAGTTGGATAGTGTCAAAAATAAATTCAATAACCCATCTGGGAAAAGCAAAACAACTTCCCACAATGAAAGAACATTTTCCTTCACAGCATCGTATTTACACTTCTCACTTCACGGATATGAAGAGAGCAGGGGACGTAAAAGCTAACTATTAAAAAGACTAGTAAATTCTTCTACGCCTCCCAACAAAAAAGAAACAAGTAAATTTGTACTCTGTAAAAAAGAAAAACGAAAAAACTACTTTGAACTCAAATCATTCTATGATACTAACATCTTCTCTGCCATTCTCTTTTTAATTTCCTCGATGGCCGTGTTTCGTCTTTTGGATAAATCTTTAATTGCCTCTTGGTATTGCTGTTCAATCATTTCTAACTCTTCTCTCAACTCATCATCGAGTTCGGACAAGGAAGAAACACTCAGGGGATAACTTGAGCAGCTCATCACACTGTTGCTTCCCATGTCTAAAATCTTGCTCTTATAATCAGACGATGTCCCGGTTTCAGATGCAAATGAGGTCTGACTCCCTCCATCAAACTCTGATTCAGCAGACATGAATGAAACCATTGAAAACTTATCGTTGATGTCTGATGTTGCAGAAGCATACGACATCTCAGAACATATATCCATATTGTCGACGTTCTCTTTTGCAGCTGTTGTTCCATAGGAGGTTGAGGGACCTGCATCTTCAGTGGATTGTTTAGAGATTCCTTTGTCTTTAGCCAACTTTGAGTCTCTCTGTTGGCTAACATTAGTCCATTTACCAGTTACAGAGGCTAAATGATCGATTGCTACACAAGGTTTCCATTCAGGAATCAATTTCATCAATAACAAATCGATTAACTCGGCGATAAATTTTACATTCTGATCAGCAAGTTCAAGTTGCTCAACCATTTCCTTGGAAACTGAGACAGCAGTATCACTGTCAAGGTAGAAGATGAAATGGATATTTCTTGCTTGTCCTGCATATAAATCCAAAGAATTTAACTTTCCACTGACAAATTTAAAAGTTATTGAAGAGTAGAAATGAGCTTAAAGTTTACTGACCTTTCTGATCGGCTATTCGAAGAACTAATGATACAGAATTCTCATCATTTTGATCACCTTTTAGAAAGAAGGTATCACCACCCTTCAACCTTCTTATCTCAACACTTGGAGAAGATGTATGCGCCAACAGTGGAATTATCAAGTACAGTGATCACAGGCAGCTCGTTAGGGTCACCAATATCCATAGAAATAGCCCTAATACGTGTATTAGCAGGACCTTCTGACATCATACCTCTGTTTTCAGAGGCTCCCAGTTTGGGAAGAACAATATCAGGCAATGGAAAAGAAATGTTCTTTGCCGAACCATTCACTTGAACAAAGGGGTCCATCAGAAGCTCCTTTGCTGACATTCTTTGGGTGGCTGGAACAAGACATTTTTCAATAAATGATTTTATCTCGGGATCTATCACTCTTGAAAGAGCAACAGGCTTTATACCCTGCAGAATGATATTATTATGAATGATCATATAATCTAATATTAGCCTACACAGAAAAAAAACATTACAAATACTGCATAACTTACCGATGAAACTTTCTTGTATATCTGCGCTGAATTTCTGCATTCACTGTAAGGATACTCAGAAGTCACCAACTCAAGCATGCACATGCCAAATGAGTATATGTCAGCTAATTCGTTGTAATTTTCATCATACATTTCAGGTGCCATAAACTCTGGAGTTCCTACCAGGATTTCATATGTATAAATATAACTGGTATAGAAATCAAACAGCAACGTGACAAAGCAGAGCAATAAATATGGGTCTACTACTATTCCGGTGCTATAGGATGGTAAAAATAATATAAAACTACATATGTTTTAACCATACAAAGGATTAACAGGTATTAGCAGCAGAAAAAAAAGTTGCCAGGAAAATGAAAAATATACCTATAACACTCTTAGCATTAGCCCGAGTCAAGAGAGTCGCCAGCCCCAAATCACCGATTTTAACTTCTCCTTGGTGACCATTGATAAATATATTATCACATTTCAAGTCCCTGTGTATAATTGGTGGATTGTGACTGTGGAGGTAGTTTAAACCCATCAGAATCTGTCTAGCCCATCCTTTGACAGCCTTCAAGTCAACCTTCTTGTGTTTTTTCCGATACCTAAATCATGCATCGCATGCACTAACAGAATGGTTGATCTCGCAATAAATAAACACAAAGAGATTAACGATACATAAGAAAGGGATACCGGACTTACTGTTTGAGGCTACCCGACGTAAACAGCTCAGTAATCATATTAACAGTCTTGCGCTTATCATCAATCCACGAATTGTAGAACCTTACTATGTTACTGTGCCGTAACGATTTCAATAAATGCACTTCCGAGTATAGCCTATCTAAATCACCCGGTGACTGCAACACCTCGTCAATCTGAACCTGACCCCATGCAACTTCAATCCCATTGACCTCATCAAATGCTCTGTAACTGATTTATCACAAAAATTAAGGAAAAAACATTTACACTTAGAAAAAAAAATCAACTCCAATAATCAAATTATTCTTAATCTTAAAATTAACAACAAATTGAAACATATATGAATAGAAGGCAAAATGAAAAATTACACAGTTTTGAAGGCGCCTTTGCCGATCACTTCTTTATACTGTTACAGATGCAAAAGGCAGAAAAATCAGCTTAATGCATTGCAATGCAAGGTTATTAATTTTACCCTAAATCAAAAAACATATTAATTCATAACCAATTGAATCATCACCTTGATGTAACGACAAGTAGGATCAATCTCAAGAACATCGGGATCAGGTGGCTCTGGATGCACTGCACCCTCTTCCGAGCTCTCCGTACCCGCCAAACTCATCTATACAAAAATCCAACCCTAAAAATCAAGCTAGATTAATTTAACACAGCATTAATCAGAAATCACCATTGGAATCAAAATCATCATCGAAAAAAATACAAATTCAAATCATAACAAATAGTAGCATTCATAATTGAACTAAGTAAATTACAATTACAAATAGAATAACACAAAATTCGAAAAACAAATGTAACGGATGTAATTCAATAATGCAATGAGTTCAAATCACGATAATTTCAGCTCCGTGTTATTGATTTTTTTCTGTTATTACCTGAAATTCAAGCTCTTGTGAGGTTAAGGAGATTAAAGGTAGAGAAAATGAAACCCTAGCCGGAGCGAGAGAGATATGTTATCTCGTTATCGTCATCATCATAATCTTCTAAAAACAGAATGAGTATAGAACGCAAAGGAAAGAGATAAACTCACTCTTTATTTATACTTATTCATTCATCTTGTCTGTTTGTTTTTTCTTTTGCAATCCACGTGTCATTTTCATCGCCGCCACGCCGTGCCTTCTACTAGGGCGTAACTTTGTTTTCTACTATGGGCTTATGGGCTTATATCCGAACAAAATAAAAAAGATTATTCATTACACCTGATCTGTTACTCACGCACACTGACAAAATTTCAAAAATAATTCTTAACTTTGAATTTTAAAATTCGAACGTATTTAAAACACAAATTATGAGTCTGTTTGATAAAAATAACGGTTGACTGATAAGTTAATTGATAGTTTATAATTTATAACTGATGACTGATAGTTTATAACTTATAACTGATAGTTTATAGTTTAAAGTTGATAGTTAAGACTGATAACAAATAAGTTAATTAAAGTATTTGGTAAAATTAGTGGTTCAACTAATTTATGTAAAATGACTTAAAAGATATTTAATATATAATTATTTTATTTTAAATTAAAATAAATTATAGAGAATAAAAATGAATTTTTGTTAAAATAATAAGGATAAAAAAGAAAGAAAAAATAATAAGTTATAAGCTATAAGCTAACGCTATTTGAAATAGCCTCTGAAAAATAAGCTACAAACTAACAAAATAAATTATAAGCTCGTGATCAAAAGATCGTTACCAAACAGCTCTAAAATATTATATGAGCTTATAAACTATAAGGTATAAGACATAAGCTCATAGGTCGGTCTTATCAAACAGACCTTATATATAAACATTGAAAATAACGCTCAAAGTTAAATATTGAAACTATGAAGATTGAAATCTAAACGCCTCTAACTTATCGCATCTTGGAAACAATCTTAATTTTACACAATTTTCAAAGTATAGATTGAACATTTTAGAATAAGGGATTTCTTTGTACACCTCTTATAGGTGGAGAAAAACTCTTGAAAACCTGAAAATACTCTTCAGAGATGCATCTCTGAATGCACCACAAATCAAAGTGATTCGGAGACGTATCTTCGAAAATAATTTGTTTGGACTTGAATGTTATATTTAAACATGCAGTGATATTTTCGGAGATGCATCTCCGAAACACCCTAATTTGGTTCTTTCGGAGGTGCATCTCCGAAATCCTCTACAGTGAAATTTTTTTAAATCATCAATGTGTTGATAAGTAATTAGTTGAAAACGATAATAAAAATGAAAATTAAAAATGATGATAAATAAATAACGATAATAGACACAATAAATTGTTTAAAATAAAATAAAAATTACATTAATTGTTCATAAATTTTCTGAAATTAAGAAAAAGCATAGTCTACTTTGTATGCCTGATCCTTACTCCATGTCCCCTCCTCTGTCCATTGTATCCCATCTCACTCACTGCCTCCTCAACCATCCTCTCTACAATGGCTACCGCCTCAGGACCATTCCGGTAATGTTACCTATGTCCAAAGCCTCAAGCTCAACCATCTATATTCAATGATAGATATGCAAGAGATCAATGACATGTTCATCCTTGACATGTTGGTTCTCTAAGATCTCTTCATGGGCTGACCTAGGTGGACATCCAAGAGCATCCAGTGTCATGACAGAATGTGACACCGTGTAAAACCATGTCACTTATCCCTCAAGGCAGTGCCAACTGAAAGTTTTCTGCATCATCTGACTCTCCTCAGGCACCATATGGGTATGGTCTGCACATAGCCAAATTATCACATGCATTTCTCTGGCAGATACCTAACCATAATGTTGGTCCCACATGCTAGCCACTTAGAGTACAGTGAGATAAAGTCGAACCAGATAATATAGCGGCGATCCTCGAACGAATTCTATTGGATGTCATCACGGACAGTCCTATCTAGATATACTCGGAAAGGCAGCATAACCTGGTTCCCTCTGTGGGGGCATACCAAGCAGCCCTCGGCATGTCCTCACTATAATCCAGAGCATAATCAAAATCACAGATGCGGTGGAAGTGAGAAATGATCCAGCCCTGAAAAATGAATAAGATTAATGTAAGAACAAATTATAGTTATTGTTCTGGACTGGGCTTGCCCTTGGCCCAACTACCAGTGAGGCCCAATCCAAGCTTGACAACCTACTGCACTGAGCAGTATTTCCACCGAGCATACCCCGACCACAAATGTCTTGTCGACTAAGACCGCTTCCTGACAGTGCTCGTAGAGACCATCCTCAACGAGCACCTTCCTCGTAGGGCTGATTTCCAATCTCTCCGGATTTCACGGAGTCTTCATGGTCCCGGAAAGATCGCGTCCCTATCCTCCCTATCTCGTGGAGGACGTTATCCAGGTAGGGGGCCAGATGCGGGTCTCCACTACACACGTAGAACCTGGCAGTCTCTTTGTTGGGCCTGTGTGATCAACCCAATAACGAGATCTTGGCCCAACGCTGAGGGCTATAAATACCCTCTCTTTTGAGAGGGTCAGGTATTCAACTCATATCTCAGAACTCTTACTTACTTTCTCATTCCTCTTCTTACTTTGCCATCGGAGTGTCTTGCAGGTACCCCCCATCTCACTCACCTTCTGCCCGAGCCAATTGTGACGGTCCATCTCTAATCAGGTGAGAACAGTGGCGTCATCTGTGGGAAACTAAGTTTCCCCGTTGTTGGCTCCTAAACTCGACACCTTTGTTTTTATTAATATAAACCATTAATCATGAGGGACGATTTCGATCAACTGATTCTGTCGAAATGCTCATCAGAAGATGGCAAGGTACTTGGAGAATTTCTTCTAAGTAAGAATCCTGTTGCCTTCGACGTCGAAGGTGCTTTTCGACAGAGGTATTCGACGCTCAGAGTGGAACAGTTTGAGATTCAAATGTTTGGAGGGAAAACGGTTCCCAGCGGTTACCAAGTGCAACGTGCCAAGATCTGGAGCGTCGAATGCTGTGAGCGTGCCAAGTGGAGTCATCTCGAAGCAGCGTAACTGCCCGACGGTTACTTGAGATGTGTTTAGTATAAATATTAGTTGTTCACGTAGTTTTTCGCGTGTGTTCACAATTATATACAAGTCACTCATTTAGATTCAAGTACCCAGTGTGAGCGAAAGAATTGTTGAGAATGTATGTGTGAAACACCATTTAACTTAATCAAAGTCATTTATTTTCCAGAACTTTATTGCCTTTCATTTACTTTTCCCAGTCGAAGCCTTTATTTAAAGCTTTCTTTTATTCTACCAAGTTTTCTTCTTCATGCAATTTACATAAAGTATCTTTATTTTCTTGTCATTAACCATCATTAAACTTAGTCAAAACCCCAAAAATCAACCATGTCTTAGGATCAATCTGATCGATCCTGCGAGTCACCAAATAAGTAACCTTTTGGAGGATCAGCGATTGTTTACCAATTTCCACGGTAAACAAATTGGCACACCCGGTGGGACCTTGTGTTGATTTTGAAGGTTAACCGTATTTACATAGAATATCATCTTTTTTCGAGAAGTATTGCATGTTATTGAGAAGTGGTAGAATATACACTAACAATACCAATACTGCCATAAGAAGAGAAGCGATGGCGAATCCGCCATACAATAACGAAATCCCACAGACGAATGTGGGAACAACGGTTATCCCAACCGTAAGTGAAGCAATAACCGCTGGTTCAACACCAGCAGTAACGGTCACACAAACGGGGCCAATGCCTCCGTTCACTGGCCCCAGAGTGCCTTTAGGAACTCCCCCACCAAGGGGAAATCCAGGAACAAGGCCTTATGTTCCCCCAAGATTTGTGACAGGCGGTCCAAATCGAGAACCACTCTATGGCATGCCAACGTCTGAATTGGCTAGCCTAACGAACGATGCGTCCACTTTTTCAGACCCTTTAGTGAGTGCCTCTTCGCCACTCCAAGGTTCTGGAGTTGGTATGGCGAACAGAAATAGGACCCAACTCTTAGGAGGAACGTCCCAAGTAGCGCATGGCCTTACAAATGCCTCGACAGCAGTCTTGAGGCAGCAAATGGACGAAAGCAACCATGATATGGTTCAAATGTTGGCACAAACTTTAAGCACAATGTTGAATCCTCTAATACAAAACACCACCCAGTCGAATCAGCAGATGACAACGCAAATGACGCGTCTGGCTGATTTCTTTGGGGTACCCCAACCTATTCGACAGCCCCAAAGGGCGCAAATAAGGGGAAATCAAAGTATACTTTTAGAGGAAGAAACCACTATTAACCAAGTCCAGCAGCCTGTCGAAGAAAACCTTAGGGCACGATTGGAGCAGCCTGTCGAAGAACCTAGGGTCATAGCCCCAGAGGTAAGGATAGTCAACAGAAACCAAAATGCTGACGAAGTAGTTCAACACATCCAATACCAAAACATGGGTTTGGAAAATAACCTGGCAGCCATGATCGAAAGAATCATGACGCAAAATGGGATGAATATGGGCTTTCGTAGGCCCAACTTCATATCCCCACTGTCAGAATATGTGTTACAAACAAACTTACCTCCTAGATGTAAAGTCCCTAAGTTCACTAAGTTTTCAGGGGACACGACAGAATCTACTGTCGAACATGTGGCGAGATACTTGATCGAAGCAGGAGATATTTCAAATAACGAAAACC